TTCTCTATTCTGTCAACAACTTGAGAAGTGTTTTTCCACATTTTAAATATTACATATAAGAAAAGGAAACATGCAAGTCTGAAAATGTTGAGTGAGTAAAAGAAGAAGAGAGGGGAGAAGAAAGTTCAGTAGGTGGGAGAGAATGGAGAAGCTATCAGCTGTCCCAACATGCTGCTTTTTTATTTTTATATGATCTGTTTTGTACCACAGCATTAAAGTGAAAAGGGGAAAAAATGAAAATACAATTAGAAAGATAACATCCCAGGAAAAGCATTGTTTTCATAACACTGGGCAGGCACAGCAAGGCATTTGCTATTTTTCCATTCTGCTTTTTCATTTTGGATGGCTTTTTTGTTTTTGTTGTTGTTTAATCTTTGCTCTGTAGCATAAACCTAACAATTTAAAAAATGCATTTTGCAAGGTAAGTCTTATGGCAAAAACATGAAGGTTTAAGAATGGAGGACAAGGATATACATTGGTGGAATAGGTCGAGTGGGGTAGACAGAAGGAGGGATTGATCCATGTGAGGACTGAGACCTTCAGGGACCAATTCTGGGTGTATGTAGACAAGCAGTATTGGGACAAACATCCAACAACAAATATTTTCCCTATGTGTGGATGCCAGTACCGGGATGATCTATTCAAATCTGCAACAGAAAATATCAGAATAACTGGGGACACTACCACAGTGTGGATGAACCCATGCAGATGTATTTGTGGAAGATGGGTCTTCCAGTAGATGTTAGTGATCCCAAGACAAATGGAACATCCATGATTACAGGTTATGAAACTCCACGGAGTATTAGTACTAAGCCAAAGCAATGGCTGTCACATTGAGACTTGTTAAATTATGAGTGTAGCTTTCTGGCCTCTATTAGGAAGAGAGTTGAACAAGGTGACATGAGTTTAACAACTCTGATTTAATGCAGGAAAGCAGTTCCTTTGCCCACCCCCAACATATGGAAAAAGGAGAGGCTGATGTTATTTTAAGACACTTCAGACCAATGGCATGTAGCAGTTGGGGCAGGTTTTGATTTTTTTGTCATGCTGGGAGGATTTCTACCTACCTCAGAGGGTCTAAATACTGGAAAAACTGCTATCAATGTGTATAAATAATAATAATAA